AGGGAGCTGACAGAGTGGTTAGTCCAGAAAGACCATCTTTTACCGCCAGCCTGGGGTGGAGTTCTGGGCTTTTTGAAGTTCCTAGGAAATCAAAGGTGAGTTTGAAGAGGCCATCCTGTCCCTTGGATGCTCCAGTGCGAGGTGGCTGTATTCCAGCTGCATAACAGGTCATGGTCAACTCCATGTCACTTTACCTAAAACCAGGGCTCTGAGGCTGGGAACTGAGAGCCTCACATTCATCTTGATCCATTCTAGCACTCTCGCCCACACATGCCCTGCCTCTCCCACTCTGTCTGAACTCTCCCATTTTCATCCTTTCTCTCACACATCATGTCTCTCTCACCCACTCCTCTTTCAGCCACCTCTCTTATATGTATTATCTTTTTTTTTCCCCTCTCCTTCTCCCCATTCTTCTTTTTCTATGATCACAGGATAGTGATCATGCTCAAGTCAACACTGATAGGAACAAGGTTCCTGAAATGGGCCAAGATGAAATAATCTCTTGCACGTGGAGTTTGAAATTTTGCTTATCAACTGCTTCCAAGGAGACAATGCTTCATTGTATGTAAGTGACATGAGCCATTACATTAAAGAGACAGAAAACTAGACATGCAAACTACACTGGGATCGGGGCTCTGAAATTTCAGAGGCACCTGCACAAATGGGCACCTATACAAATCCAAGGATGCACTCACATTCTTGGCCCATACAAGTACAATGGTCTCTCAGGCCCTGGATCTCCTTGTTTGTGTGCTGGGCATAGTAAGACTGCCCTTTCTGCCTTAGGGAATTATAATAGAAGCTAGAGCACTATATTTGTAGACAGAGAATTCCCAATATGGTCTGACACGAATAAGCAGATGTAGCAATCCACTCTTGGGTTGGGGGAAAAAATACAATGAAACCGGTCTCCATAGCCCCTCCCTAAATTCTTCCCATCATATCTCTACCACCTTTCAAACTGGAATAAAGAACAGTAATAAAGCCCAGGTAGTTCCGATAGGAACTCCAGATCTTCAGTGAAAACAAATTTTATCAATTTCATCCTTACATTTTTCTTTATTTTTCTTTTACATTGTTTTAAATGACTTTAAATGAAAGTTTACAGAGACTTAGGGTTTTCATCCATTCATTGTTGCCTTTTTCTCCCTGCCCAACCCCTCCCCTCCAAGTCACTCTTCTCCTTGAAAAGAAAATCTCTTTCAGTGTTATGCATTTAATCCAAAAAAACAATAGAGCAGAGACACCTTCCCAGAGACTGTGCTGTTAACTTTATAGGATTTATCTCATTTAATACTGTCAACACCCCCTGTGATTTCTTATTATTTCTACTCATTGAGAGGCAGGATAGCAAGATCATTCGGAGTGTGGGCTCTGGATCCACACTGTGGCTTTAGTTTCAGAAGTTGCATACTTCTTATTAGCTGGGTGATCTTGGACCTGTCACTTCACTTCTATACCCCTCTATGTTCCCATCTACCAGAAAAGAAGAATGCTCTTGTAGTGCAGAGTGCCTGTGAGGTTACAAGAGGGAATGAATACACACAAAGCCATTAATATAGTCAAACACAGAGCAATGTCCCACGATCCCTGGCTGCTCTGGGGGCAAGTCGACAGCGAATTGTGCTGCTAGTCCAAAGGCTGAGGCTCTCGGGCAGCTTGAATTAAACAGCGGCTCAGTTGGAAAAAGATGGGCAGCTTCCCCTGTGTCATTTATATCCTCAGAAACCCGCGGAGGGTCAGCTGTAAGAGTTGATTCAAACTCAACAGCAGTAACTTAAGTTGGAGTATTGGTGAAGACAATGAGCTTTCAAAAACCTCCTGTGTGGGCGAATCCACGTCGTTCCCACTCCAGCAGCCACTGCACTAAATCTTACACAAGTCCTAAATTTTTTCTGCTCCTCAGTTTCCTCATCTGTGAAATGGGATGGTTATGCTCCTAAGAGTGTTGTGAGGATTAGAAGAGATAAAACAGGTAAAACACCCAAGATGTCAAGCACGCTGTGGTTTTCATACTAAGAAGAATATTATTTGCCCAAGGTAGGGCGTCTCATCTTTAGAGCTTTGTTCCAAAGCCACGTCTACTCCACTTTCACCTCGAGCCTTTACTCCTCTGGACCTGTACCCGTGGCTGATGACTGCACGCAGCTAAGGGGAGCCTGGGAGATCCTATCAGTCCCATGCCTTTAATGCACCTCACCTCTTTGTCCTATGAAGGTAGAGGAAGGTTGAATTGACTGGCAGCTGCCCCAGCAATTGGAGACACTTTTTCATGAGAAGCCTGCAGAGAGAGATAGGGGCCTCAAAAATAATTAGCCCCCAGCGCTGAGCCTGTGTGGTATCTCATTACCAAATGCAAATGCAAGTTCACATGCTCCTGGCAAAGTGCCTGCAAGACCCTCAGCCCTCCTGAATTTGGACCCACAGCCCAGCCCCACAGCACAGAGGCGAAGCCCGGCAGCTGGTGGTCAAGCTCTTCAGGGGAGAGGGCTGCTCTCACCCGAGCCCAGGAGGACAAGGAAGATGGGTATTATTTCTTTAAAGGAGGCTGAGATACTATAGGGTGGGGTGGGGGGAAAAATTGCTCTTCCCTCTGCAGTTAAAAGAGGGATAATTAGAGCAAGTGGCGGGCGGCTGCTCTGCCATTTAGCATACAGCATACCCAGGAAATCTCACTTGGTAATCAGGAGGAGAGGAGAAAGAGGAGCAATCAGACTCCTATTCAGGCTCCGTTTAGCAACAGCCCCGCTGGTTCTCTGGGCTGGTCCCATCCAAAGCCTGAATGCTGGGCAGGGGACGAAGTTGCAGAAGCTGCTCTCTCCATCCCTCCATTGTGCACACTCTAAGTCCTGCTCCGGGGGCTCCCTTCTCTGGCATCAGGGAGGATGGTGCTGAAAGGAGGTGTCCTTTGCCCTGTGATTACTCACCACTCGCCTTGTCAACACCCCCACTTTCCAAAACCATTCAGAGCTGACACAGATTAGTAATAATGCCATGTGACAATTTCAACAGCATGTGTGCTGGGAGGAGTGGGGAGGGGAGACTGTTATTACAGGAGAGCCCAACACTGGAGAGTCCAGCTGGGGCAATCACTGAACTTAACAACAGTACCCATTGTCTTTGAGGCAGGAGTGGGGGGAGCTGCCAGGGAGACCCACGGTCTTTGTTGTTGTTATGTGCCATCAAGTCGACTACGACTCATGGTGACCCTCTAAACAATGGATCTGAACTCTGCCCTGTCCTGTGCCAGCCTTATCATCTCTGATACACTTGAATCCTATGCTGCAGTCACTGTGTCAACCCATGTGATTGAGGGTCTCCCCCTCTTCCAAGCATGATGTCCTTTTTCAAGGATGAGTCCCTCCTAACGACATGCCCCAACTATGTGAGATGAAGCTTCACTGTCTTTGCTTTGTGTGCTTCTGAGTCAGAAGTGGCCAATAGCTGACCCTCCGGCGAGTTTGCAGGGGCAATTAATTGCATGGGAGGAGATTGCCCAATCTTCTCCCAGAGAGCAACCAATAGATTTGAACCACAAGCTTTTGGGACTGCAGCACAGCTTCTTATCACTAGACCACCAGAGCTTTGGCCCTCAGCATGTGCTCTGAGGCGAGTGCTTCCTCTTGGTGCATTATTCTATCTTTATTCTGGGTTTTGAGAGAGATGGGACAGAATCGTTACATAATGCTCAATACAAAGAAAAGTGAAGAAGAGAGTAGTACTCTCAGACCGCTAGGTCACAAACCAACCTGAATAAGACCAGTAGAAAGGATGGGGATGGGGCATCAATGGGTGCGCTACACCCTTTGCATGTTTGTAATAGGGCTCTCGTTCCTGTCACCAACATCTACTACTGACCACACTTCACCATCCAGTTCCAACACCTGAAAATCTAGCAGCTGAGACTGAGACAGGAGGTTTCTGGTCTGGGCACCTGTCCAAGCAAGGAGAGAAAGATAATGAATTAAAAAGAAAGATAATGCATACACATGAACTTTTTTTTTATTTAAATTCTAACAGAACAGGAATTCATGCCTCTTCACTAAATTGACCTAAAAAGATGAGCACACAAATAATATGGCATGAGTCCCATAACCAAATCCCTTGCTGTCAAATCAATTCTGATTTGATTAACTGACTCTGAAAACCCACAGGAGGGTCAGCTGTGGGTCGGTTCTAACAACAACGATAACAAGTGGCCCTAAAGGATGGAGTAGGGTGAACTTTTCATGTTTCCATGGTTGTAAATCGTTACAGAAATCAGCATCTTTCTCCCATGGAGAGTCTGATGGATTTGAACCCAGGCCCTCTTGGTAAGCAGCAGAGTGCTTCATGGGTGGTTATTGGTCTTAGGTGCCAAGGAGTCAGTTCCAGCTCACAAGGATTCTATGTACAACAGAACCAAGTACCACCTGGCCCAGTGCCATCTTCAAAGTCACTTCCATGTTTGAGCCCATGTGTGCTGCCCCGGTTAATCCACCTTTTTGGCGATTTCCACGTTTTTCATTAACCAAACATGATGTGTTTTCCCAGGGACCGGCTTCTCCTGGTAGCTTGTCCAAATCCTGTGAGGGAATCTCCTCATCCTCACCTTGAAAGGAGATCCAGGAGTTCCTATCAGCTTATGATGTCTTCTCCCTGGCCCCACCTCACCTGGAACAGGCTGATTTTGCTAAAAGGAAGCATTTGGGTAAAATGCTACTGAAATGTATACACATTGGTAGGGAATCAATTCTTCACAATCCCAGGATTGCTGAGAAATCCAATATGTGCACATTCATAACTTATTTTTTAAAAAATAAACAATCAAGCTTAAATTTATTTTAAGATAATTACAGACTCTCACTGAGCCACGAGGCGACTGCTCTCTAGAGACTTCACAAGCCTTCTTCACTTGCCTTCAAGTGTCAAGGCTGCCCCCGGTCAGGCAGGCTGCGTTCAACAAACTGTAAACAGCTATGCAGAGCCATAGCATCATCTTTATTCTCGATTATCTGTACTTCTTCTGTCCTCCCAGACCAGTATTGAAAAGGCAAGATCAAAAGTCCACATGAGAAAGTCTCACGTTGAGCACCAAATGCTCTATTTAAAAAAAAAAAAACAAAAAAAAAACCCAAACATTTTTCTGGCGAGCTCTGGTGCCCTAGTGGCAGGAAGCTGCACTGCAATCCCAGAGGTGAGTGATTCAAATCCACCAGATGCTCTGCTGGAGAAGGAGGAGCAATCTCCTCTTGTACCAGCCAGATCTCATTTGACGGTACACAAACACAAAATAAAAAAATTAAAAAAAACAAAACCCATAACGCTTACAGCAAAACTCTGAAGCCTCATCTTCCTTCAACACATGCCATAAAGCTGAACGTAACCATGAGCTGGGTTGAGTGAAGAGAGAAAGTTTTCTCAAGTAAAGCTTCTTGGACTTCACTTTGCAACCAAAATTAATAGCTCTTCCCCATGTGAAGCCGAAGACACATATGTCCATTACCTCTTACCCCCAGGTCCAATTCCCCACAGCAACCATCTCCAGCATCCTCTGGGTCTTGCCTAGAGAAGACGCCCAGCGGGTTACTGAAATGGTCCGAAGCACATAAGAGAGATGGGCCCATCTGTGCATCTTCTTGGGGTGCAGTGTGGAGACGTTTTGAGGTCATCAGGCGTAGAGAAGAACCAAGCAGGTTCAGCAGCCAACAACGCCACAGGCTGGCCTGAGGCTAATGGACCATGAAGACACCTCCTGCAGACTCTAGCCACATTGCTTAGAAGCTGCAGGAGCCCTCACAGCTCTTCCTGCTCTTCGAGCTGCTAAAGCATCCAGTGCAAAGGGAACCTTCCACACAGAGCGCAAGCCCTCACACCATCCAGTGACAGGCACCACCCTGCCTTCCAGCCACCTGGAACACAGGACCAACAGTTCGAAAGAAGTCTCCTGGTTTAGGTGCCGTGCCATGAGCCACGTAAAGGTCAGAAGAGGGAATGGCTGCATCCACACCAGTTGCTTCACAATCTCACCTTTAGGCAAATGGACCAGTGTTTCATTTTTTTAATCTAGTTTTATGCCGATCTGCTTGACACTTGTTAGCTGCTGTGATATTTTCTCCCCTTAACATTTTACAGGTGACTTTTTTCCCCCTCCTGATTACTCTCTAAAAATTAACTATGTGTGGCGAGCACGGATATTTTCTAATAGTCTGTGATATATTTTTGATTGATTAAACATGAGGGTAATTATGAGACCAACAGGCTCTAGGCAGGAAATTCTGTTACCTCCCCCAACATGTGCTCTCACCTCAATCATTGCCCTGCCCTGCTTTGCTTCCAAGTTAACCAAGTTCCACTGAAACACGAAAGTTTATCCACTCTGTTTATGTCTCAGGAGAGTTATGCCATGTGTATGCATTTACAGATAGAGGTATCAGCCCACAGCCACAAGATGGTTGGAGCCTTACAGAAAGAACTATTATTAAAATGCATAGATGTGTTCAGCTATTAGAAATCTGCTCCGAAGACATTCCGCTAGAGACTAGGAGGAAACACACAAACAAAAAAGAAAAAGGAGAGAGAAAAGACAAATTGTATACATACACAGTATAGAGAGTCTTGCTGCAGAAAGTGCTGATCCAAACCTGCCCAGAGGAAATGAGTTCTTTTTTAAACACAAAAATGCAATCAGGGGTAATCAGCAAGTTAACAACACACTTGCAAACACCCTGGTCCCTAGAAAGGAAGAATACCAGCTTTCAGTGCAAGTTCTGTGAGCAGAACAGATCCTCTGGGCTTACGAGAAAGCAAGTGATCATGTCAGCGTCTTCAGGCAGAACTTTCCTCAAAGCCAAGAAGCTCTGGAGCAGCAGCGGGCTCCAGACGGGACCTGTACATGAAAAGCACTCCAATAACAACATTCCCAAAGTGACTTTGGGGTCCGGGTTACCTCTATTATTCTTCTCCACCTGTCTTTGCGATGAGTCCAGCAGGGGAAAACGGAAAAGCAAATTAGGACAGTGCAAACATCTGGAAGGAGATATGTTACCTAACCCTCAAAAAGAAAGTAGAGCCCCATCCCACACACGGTTTACGACGAGGCCTAGAACAAGGCCCCACAAAATATCTCCAACCCATGTCACCTGTATAATAAACTCTGATTTTTAATGAAAAAAAATTTTTTTAAGTACTTAGTGGTGACTAAAGTATTTATCAGCCATAGCTGTTTTAGAGGTTGGGCTACTCAGGACCATTTAAGGAGCAACATCAATCAATCCTGAGGTGACAGGGCCTTGCCTGAATGAAGAGATCCTGTGCGTCAATGAGTAGACACTTCTCTGGCCCACACACCTGACCTCCCTCCTCTCCTTTACTAGTCGGTTCTCAATCTTGGTTACACATTGAAATAACGTGAGGAGCTTTAAAACTTAAGCATGACTCAGGTTCCACCCACACAGGCTCTTGATTGGTGAGGGATTTCGCAGGTGAAGTCTCTTAGGAGCAATCCTAGTGCCTCCAAGACACAGAACCACTGTTACTCCCTGCACCGAGCCACCATCTCTGTGAAGAGACCAACATGAAATGGCAACACACACACACACACACACAATCTCTAGAAAGATCCAAGGCTTTTTTTAAAAAAACAAACTTGTTCGATTCAACCTTTAACATACCTGCCTGTGTGGTCAGTCCTTAACACTTAACCACTTTGACACTTACTGTATTTTAAGTGTTTGTCAAGTTACTGGAATTAGGGCCACTTCTCCCAGGTTTACCCCTCAGCAACCGGAAGTTGGTGTGCAAGCCGAGGGCACCAAAAGTCTATGGGCACAGTGCTTCCTGCCCTCGTCTCTGAGAAGCCATGCTTGAACTTGGAAGGTTCTTAATGCTGTACAGAGTACTGTCAGCATCTTAGGGGTGGGAGGAGTTGGCTGGACAGGATTCCTGTCAAGCTCTGTGCCCCTTCCTGCTCTGCTCTCAGTGGGTCGAGAGGCCAGAGGAAAGCACATCTAAAGCAGGACCTCCGGGGAGAAATCCTACGCCAAGGCGGCAACAGTGTCTACCTGTAGATGACTCACCCCCTCACCCAACCTGACCTCCCAGACTATTTTAGGAAGAGCTGAAAGGCTGAGCTTGTTCTAGCCAGTCACCACCAGCAACCCGCCCTCCTTCAGTCTTCTTTGCACAGACATTTGCTGTGGCGGAGAGTGGCATCTGTTCTCAGGTGCCCAGGTCTTAAGGGGTCAAGAGGAACAGACACAATCTCTTTGCTAATTGCTATCTGATTTCTTGCCCTGTGCCAATCCTGCTAAAACTGCTCTTTGTTTCCACTGAGTGCAGTAGAGTAGGTGGAGTTGAGTTGCGATACAAGCCCTATAAGCCTACCCCATCTAGCCCTTTCAAATGGGATGGGTGAACCTTGAAGAACAGGGTTTATGGTTGAGAAGTCAAGGTTCTCCTCAAACTGAGACCTCACAGATCTTCCCTGAGACCCAATGAAGGGTTTTCCAGCCCTCCTGAAGGCAAGGGGCCCGATTATCTTCGATGTAGCTAAGGACATATTTTAATGCTAGAGTTTCTGTCCATTGAACATCTCTGTTCTCACCAAGTCCCTAAAGGGAGACGGGTGGTTAAGAGGGTCTTACCTTCCGAGCAGAGCTTGCCACCATAGCCAGTAGTCGAACAGTCACAGGTGGGGTGGCCATCCAGGAGAAAACAGATACCACCATTTTCACAGGGCCCCTCGCCGCAGGGCCCCTCGGCATCCAACTGGACACCCTGGCTCCCCAGGAGCCGAGGCTCTGAGTTGCCGTACTTGAGATCCAAGATAAATCCCCTGAAGCCGGGCATAGCCTGTACTCCGTCGAGGGTCAGCGCGGAAGGTCGTATGTCTGCAGGGACTCCACCAAGGAACAGGTCACTGACCACATCCATGTAGGGCCGCTGCGCCTGTAGCTCGCCTGACTGGCCCTCGCCGTCCAGCACCAGTGCAGTGCGGAGTCGGTCTCGGCTCACCATGAGGAAATGCCAGCTGCTGTCATTCACCTGCTTGTTCGACAACACAGCGGTCTCGGCACAGTCCATGCTGAAGCGAAGCTGGACGCGCCCATCGACCAGGGAGAGGCAGAGGAAGTCACAGACCCCACCGTCATCCAGGTACAGGAGCAGACCCGTGGAGACATTGGTCTTGAACTGGAAACTCAGGTCGCTGCGTGTGCTGGCATCCCAGCGAAGGTAGCGAGCCCACTGGTTAGGGAGGCCCATAAACTCCAGACCCAGGCAGAGCCCCAGCAGGGACCCCAGCAGGACGCTCACTTTCAGGGTGAAGAAAACCGAGTGGAAGGTGAAGCTCATGGTTGCTGCTGGGACAGAGGCCTGAGAGCGGGTGGACCAGAGTAGACCCCTGGAGGGGGTTGGCCCTTAGACAGTGGAAGGGCCAGAGGATTGTAAGGCAGAGGTAGGGAGACAGAACACAGAGGAAGGAGGTGCGCAGATACTGAGATGGAGGTGGGGAGGGAAGCTAGAAATCAGTAGCAAGAGGAAGGGGCAGAGGAAGACGACAAGGCAGCAGAAAAGAGGACAATCAGGTGGAGGAAGTGAGAAGCAAAGTGTCTCTCCGAGAAAAGATCTCAGCTATCCATGTGGATCCGGAGGCCTGATTCAAGGAGAAGGCGCAGGGCGATGAGAAGCTGTCAGCAATGCACTCCTCCGGAAGGGCCCCCAGGCGCCCCAGCCACCGAGGCCGGGCAGAGGGCTGGGGGTGCCGTGATGGAGGAGGAGGGAGCAGCGAGGTGAGTCCAGTGAAAGGTAGACACAGGCCACGGACCAGTTCTGAAGTTCTACCTCCTAGCAACGAGGGGCTGCAGGGAGGGCAGCAGCCAGGAGCTGGGAACTCAGGCAGGGCAGAGCCCAGGGCAGAGCACAGACAGCCTCAGGCTTCATGGTGGGGGCTGGTGGCAGCGCTGACCTGCCTCCTAGGACTCCAGAGAAAATACCTGAGAGCAGAGAGAGAGAAGAGGAGGATTAGAGTCTTGTGTGAGGGAAACTTTACATCCCACTTCACAAACACTGATGGTGTGCAGACTATGAGACAGGCTTTCTAGTGATTTCGACAATGCTCAGCCCTTCAGGAGGTAGGTTCTTCCAGAGCTCATCACCTGACCCCAAGCCCAGATCCTCAGGACATATTCCATCATCCTATATGTAAAGATCCTCGTTGTTAGACATGGTCAAGTCAGCTTCTTGTCAAGAATAGTGACTGTGGACAACAGACTGAAAGCTTGCCCTGTCCTGCCCCAACATCACATCTCCAATGTGTTTAAGTCCACTGTTACAGTCACTGGGTTAACCCTTCTCAGTGAGGAGCCTCCTTCCTTACACTGACCCTCTTCCCAGCAAAAGACTGTATAATTCCCCAAACTTTATCAGCATATCTGTATTGTTGTTGTTGTTATGTGCTGTCGAGTCGCTTGCGACTCATAGCGACCCTATGTACAACAGCCCTAAACCCTGCTCTGTCCTGTGCCAATTGCACTCCCTCTGACACACCCATCCCGATTACCCCAGTCACTGTATCAATCTACCTCATAAAGTGTAGTACACTATCCAAATACCAGAGTCAAGTAATCTAAATTTATTACAACAAATGCTAACACACTTTATTCTCATTCTCTCTCTCTCTCATACACATACACACACACACACACACACACACACACGAGTGTTTGCTTATTTACCTATTAAGAACCATGAAAATGGCATTCATCTTTTTCTATTTCTCTTTGATAACCTAGTACTTGGATGAAAAGATTATAAGAAAGTATTGTACTTTTAAATTTTTGAATGAAATATTTATCAAAATCAATAAAAACCCATCAAAAGGTAAGAGATCAGGAATGGTTTTGCTCATTGCTCAATGTTGGAGAAAAAGCCTTAAATGTGTTGTGAGACTTAAAAAGGTTTAGTTTAAACCCTTGTTACTCTATGTGGAGTTTGAGAGCAAATTTCTTGACCCATTTGTAGTCCAGACCTATTTGGGGCCATATTGCATGGTGCAAGTCCACTACCAGGGACCTCATCAGGGTGCTGAGGAACAATATTGTTAGTTTAAAGACTAAGGTGTGCCTGATTCAGGCCAAGGTCTTTTCAATCACTTGTTATGCCTCTAAGAACTAGACAATGAACCAGAATGACAGAAGAATCACTGCCTTTAAATTGTAGTGTTGGAGATGAGAATTGACTATTTTCTGGACTGGCAAAAAATCCAAGTATGTCTTGGGAAAAGTACAGCCAGAAGGCACCTTGGAAGTAAGAAAGGCAAAATTTCATCTCATATTTTGGTCAAGTTGGTAGGAGTGTCTATTCCTTGGAAAGGAACATCATGCTTGGAAAGTTGGAGGGTCAGCAAAAGAGAAAACCCTCAGTAAGATGTACCGACAGTGACTCCAGCAATGGGTTCAAATGTGTCAGAGATGATGGGGAAAACAATGGACAGGACAGGGTTTAGATCTATTGTGCAAAGGGTTGCTGTGAGTCGTCCTTGACTTTGCAGGACCTAAGAACAATAAATTAGCAGATTTCTTCCTTTCTTATTTATAGAATGGAAAGATATGAGAAAGGGATTATTAAGTATGTTCCTGTGTTTGTATGGTTGTGTGCAATACATAAAAATGTGAATATCTTTTAAAAAAACATAAAAATTACAGAATGAGTAACTCAACTGGGCAGACATAGAATATACCATGTGTAGTCAGTGTGGAAATTGAGATTGTTAACAGCTTCAGTTTGCTTGGCTCCACAATCAGCATTCTTGGTACCAGAAACCAGGAAATCAAAAGATGAATTGCATTGGGAAAATCTGCTGTCAGGGAGCTCTCCAGAGTACTGAAGAGCAACGATGGTTATCTGGAGACTAAAGTGCACCGGATCCAGGCCATGTTCTTCACAATTACTTGCTATGCAACAGAGAGCTGGACAATGACTAGGGATAATCGAAGGAGAATTGATGCCTTCGAGCTGTGGTGTTGGAGAAGTGTATTGAATATACCATGGACTACTAGGAGAACAAACAGGTTCATCCTGGAGAGGGTGAAACCAGGCTCCTCCTTAGAAGTTAGGATTCTGAAGCTTCATCTGACATACTTTGGACATGTTGCAAGGAGGAACCAGTCCTTGGAGAGGGATGTCATGCTTGGGAGGGTGGAGGGACAGAGGAAGACCCTGGATGAGATTAATTAACTCAGTGATTGGGGTAATAGAGGTGGGTGTGTCAGAGATGATAAGATTGGCTCAGTATAGATCAGGGTTTAAGGCTGTTGTACATAGAGTCACTATGAGTCAGTGACTCCACGGCACTTAACAACAACAACAGTCTATAATTGTTGGAGATATGCCAGCACTCAATCAAGTCAGACATCTGATTTCTGAGGGGAGCCATTGGCCCACCTGGATGAGGTAAAGAGTTCTCTGTTCAGGTGAATGTAACTTGCAAAATTTGTGTATGTTACTGCTTGTTAATGGACCTATTTGACTCTTCTCCATGGTCTTTATTGTCCACTGTTTTTACGATGGTCACATCATCAAAGCGAGTTAGTTAGCCTTGTTTTGAAGATGAAGCTGTTTTTCACTAGAAACAAAATCCTATTCCCAATGAGCAAACAATCGTAATCAACAAGAAGCTGGGTAAATGCATCCAAAGGAAAACATTAACCTTTTATCAGCAAAGTTGTAGTAAGGTGGCTCACAGTCTGCTATGCTGCTAGGAGCTGGGACGTTGGCATTTCAAATACCAACAAAAATCACCTTAGTGGATGGTCCCGGTGGAACTACCAGACTAAGTGGACTTGGAAGAAAAGGCTGAAGAGTTATCTATAAAAATTAGCCAGTGCAAACCTTGTAAATTGTCTGATAGAGTGATAGAAGTTAAGCCTCCCAAAACCTCTCAACAATGGATGGAAACCCACAGTGATGATGAAGGTGGCTCAGGGCTGTGCAACATTTCATTTTATTGCATTTTATGGTGTGCTGAGTTGGAGTCAACTTGACAGCAACTTAAAAAAACAAAAAACAACCCAAAACAGAAACTATAAATAAAACCAACCTTACTTCTCTAATATATTTCCTCCAAGCAGAGTGCTCAAAGTGTTGCATGGACAGCTCCTCATGGTACAGGGGATGCTTAGCCGAAAAATGAACACAGTGGTATGCTGGGGCTAACTCATATTGGCTTCTGCTAGCCAATTATTAGCATTTCAGAAATTTTTCATTTGTTGACATCACTTCAGTAGTATGAAATCAACTCTGTTTGGAATATTTACACCACGGATTTTGGCAAACACCACAAGTCAGAGTCCTAAGAAGGTGAGATATAAGGCAAGACATGAATGAGGGTAGAAAGCATTAGCCACGTAAATATAGGAGAGGACTGAGATGAAAGTCAGTGCAAAGGCCCTGAGGCTGAGGCAGCCTAGTGTGTGCAAGGAACCGCAGATGGGCCAGTGCTGTTGCAGGGTCAGAAGTTAGGCATGGTTATAAGAGGTTAGACCATGAGTCTTGACACAATCCATCTGAGTGTCATAGAGGTTACGCTCAATGAGGTAACTTAAATACCACGTAAGTGAAAAGACAAATTCCTTGAGTAGAGGTACCTTTGTGGCTTCAACAGATGCCATTTCTACTTATTTCCTTAAATCAAATGGTTAGACATGGATGTTTTTAGGGAATGTTCTCAACTATCCCCCTTTCCCTTCTCCCTCATCATGTATTTAACTTGGGGGGAAGTGAGTAAAAGGGGGCAGACAAAGCAAGCACAAGCAAAAAAGAACATCTCACAAGGGATGTCCCAGAAGTAGAATTTGTGATGAGCTGCTGTTGTTAGGTGCAGTCAAGTCAACTCTTATGCATATCCACCTTATGAGCAATAAAATACGAACCTTGTCCTACCCTTCACTGTCCTCACAATTTCAGCTGTGCTCAAGTCCATAGCTACAGTCACTGGATCAATCCATCTTGTTGAGTGTCTTCTTTTCTCTGATCCTCTACCTTTCTCAGAATGATGTCTTTTTCTAGATCGGACCTCTCCTGAAAACATGCCCAAAGTGTGTGAGATGAAGTTTCACCACCCTTTCCTAGAAGAACTCTGGTTGCATTTCCTCCGATAGGTGGATTGAGAATGTGAAGATCACAGTATGTAGGTACCAGAATCCATGCACGTGTGTGAACTCAAGACACCTGGTAAGTGTTTTCTCGGTGGTACTGCTTTGGCTGCTTCATCTCCTGGGAAGAACTTCTCCCTCTACCCCCACATAGCCTGCTTAGTCTAATGAGTCCAGTGGCCTGTAGACAAGATTCAAGCT